TGAGCAGGGGCTGCGGGTCGGGGTTGACAGGCATTGGCCAGCCCAGCGCAGCCCCTGTCCTCATCCCCCCCTCCCCCCCCCCCGCCATGTCTTCCAGGTGGCGTCGTACTTTGGTCACACGGTGGCTGTTGCTGATGTAAATGGCGATGGGTAAGGAGGAGGTTGGCACTCGCTTGGCAGCTGGGGCACTGAGCCCAAGTGCCCACGTCTGTCCCCAACCACTGCCTGGGGGGGCGGCGAGGCCCCTTCACTCAGGCCTCCCATCCTGGGCACTGGCAGGGCAAGGGAGAGCCGGGCTCACGCTGGGGGGTGCCGGGGCTGCTGGGCTCCATCACCTCCAGGGGCCTCCATGCTCCGCGTTACCCGTGCCTGTGGTACAGCCCTGTGGGGCCAGAGCCCTCGTCAGCGCCAAGGGCTGGGGGCACGGCTAAGAGCTCCCAGGGTCCCCTCTGCCCAGGCCCCGCTGACGTGCTGGGTGTGGATTGTGCAGCTGGTGAATCCATGGGGCAGTCACGGTGCCCTGAGGACGGGGCTGGGTCCCTGTAGGTGCTGCTCCTCCTCCTGGCCTGTGCTCTGGGCTCCCCAGCCAGCCTGGTTTGTCTCCCCACATCCCCCCACGTTGGCTTCTGCTGCCATCTGGTGCCCACCAGCCTGCACTGCGGCTGGCAGAGCCTGGCGCCAGGCAAGCAGGGGCAGGGGACAGGAGTGGGGCAAAGCTGAGCCGAGGGGGGAACCCCAGCCCCCAGCACAAGGCCCGTGTCAGCCCGGGGGGAGCCTGGGCCCTGAGGGGACTGGGGACGGACAGACGGACGGACAGAGCTCAGGGCGTGTCCGTGTCCAGGAGCATCAGCCACGGGGCACCGACTAGTGTTAGCCGCAATGGCCCAATGCGTCCCTCCTGCAGGGGATGCTGCGCCCGGGGGGGCAGGGGCTGCTCCCATCCCAGCATTCCTTCCCCCCCCCCCCCCGTGGGATCGTCCTTTCATTCCGTCGGCCCCCGCGGCCTGACGGGGACAGGAGCCCAGACGAGTCGGGCGCCTCCCTCTGCCATCCATCTGCCCCCTTTGCCACCAGGAAGGACGACATCTTGGTGGGAGCGCCGCTCTACATGGAGCAGCACTCCGACCGCAAGCTCTATGAGGTGGGGTGCATCTACCTGTACCTGCAGCGCCGGGGTCCCCACCCCTACAGACACCCCTGGCAGACCATGACCGGCACCGAGGTCTACGGCCGCTTCGGCACAGCCATCGCTCCTGCGGGGGATCTGGACCAGGACGGCTACGTCGGTAACTCCCCGCGTGTCAGTCTGCTAGTGCTCAGGGCAGGGGGCTTTGGGTTGGCTCAGAGACCTCCCCCACTGGCTGGGTCTGGGGCAGGGCACCTGGGAGGTGTGCCCCAGTGGTGGGGGAGTGACCACAGCCTCCGTGGGACAGACTGGAAGGCTGGGAGGCAGCCCTGGGATGGCCGAGCCCCAGGTCTCAAAGTGCTCGTGGGGCGGAAGAGCTCTGAGTCCTGCTATATAGCTGGGGAAACTGAGGCAAAGCGACGAATCTCTCATAGCCCCACAAAGTAGCAGAGCCAGGAACAGTCCTGACGCTCAGTTCCCCGCTGCCCCCAGCTCTAACCACTAGTCCCAACTCCTCTCCCAGAGCTGGGGATAGAACCCTGGCATCCTGGCTCCCAGCCCCCACTCTGACCCCTAGACTCGACCCTCCGAGCTCTGGGTCCCCTTCTCGTCAGTGTGTAACGTCTGGGGCCCGGTCCCTGCCTCAGTGGGTGGGATCCTGCCCCCGGGGATGAGGAGCAACTGGTGCCCAAGGCTCAGCTGCTCTGGCCGGGGCCTGGCTCGCGGGCCCTGCTGTCCTGTCCCCTCAGATGTGGCGGTGGGGGCTCCGTTTGTCGGGAGCGGCCGTGTGCTCATCTTCAGAGGGTACAGCGAGGGGCTCCGCACGCCGGCCTCGCAGGTCCTGGAGAGCCCCTTCCCTGGCCGTGCCGCCTTCGGCTTCTCCGTGCGCGGTGCCACCGACATCGACTCCAACGGGTACCCAGGTACAGCCATCCTCACAGCCACCCCCGGCCCGCCAGGGTCACAGGCCTGGAGCTGGCCAGGACCCATGGCCCAGACCCTTTGGGGAGAGAGATGAGTGTGTGGGGAAGAGGGCTCGGCCTCCACCTCCTCCCTGGACCCCCTTCCTGTGCCGGGCGCTGCCCCCGGTCCTCTGCGCCCTCCCTCCCGTGCGGCAGCTGCTTCCCCTCCCGTGCCGACTGCTGCTCCCTGGGCCCCCCCTCCCGTGCCAGGCACTTCCCCCCTGCCCCATGGGCCCCCCCTCCCATGCTGGCCGCTGCCCCCTGGGCTCCCCCCTCCCATGCCTGGTGCTGCCCCCTGGGTCCCCCCTCCCGTGCCAGCCGCTGCCCCCTGGGCCCCCCTCCCATGTCGGCCACTGCCCGCTCCTCCTAGGTCACTCCATGCTGGGTGCTGTCCCCTGAGAAATGCTGAACACCCTTCCCTAGCAGGGTGCGGCTCTCTCGGCCCTCTAGGCGGGTGCCCCCCTGGCTGGCTGGAGCCCTGGCTCCCCGCCCTGGCTCTGGCTGGCAGCTTTGCCACACAGCTGAGCCGCAGGATCCTGTGCCCGCCCCATGAAGCCCGGTGTGACCCTTGACTTGTGCCCCCAGATGTGCTGGTTGGGGCGTTTGGCGCCAGCAAGGTGGCTGTGTACAGGTGAGTGCCCGGGGCTGGCTGGGCGGGGGGTGGGTGAGTGCCCAGGGCTGGCTGGGCGGGGGTGGGTGAGTGCCCAGGGGCCCTGGTCCTGGGTGCTTCTCTGTGCACATGAGCTGCACCTAGAGCCAGCAGCACTGAAGTCAGGAGGGGCTGCTGCCCCCAGGACACCAGGATCGGGGCCCGAAGCCCGGTTGGGTCTGGGAGGGGTCAATAGCATGGTGCCCAGCACAGACTCTGTCCTGGCACCAAGCAGCTGCCCCCCCAGTGCCTGGGTTCCCAGCTGTGGGGGAGGTGGCTGGCACATACCCAGCCCCTCCTCCCTGCCTGCCGCCCTTGCCCTGGGGATAACAGCCTGCTGCTGCTGCTGCCTGCCCGCGGAGCTTCTCCGACTGGTCAGGCTTCAGGCCCTGGGGTTGTTGCTCCTCACGGCTGGGCTGGGCCCAGCTCTGACCCCAGGCGTCCCTCTTGCTTACCCCAGGGATGGCGTTGCCCCCTCCCTGCCTGCTGGCCCTGATATTACAGAGCCAGCGCCATTCGCCTGGGTTTGACTGGCTTGATGGTGCCCACAGAGCCCAGCCCGTCGTGGTGGCCAGTAGCCAGCTGTTAGTGCCAGATGTGCTGAACCCTGAGGAGAAGACCTGCACTGCCCACAGGACCCTTGTCAGCTGGTGAGCAAAGGGACATGGGGGGGCCGTGTTCTGGGTGGGCGCAGGGCTGGAGTGGGGAACTGCTGTCTCCTTCCCCTGGGCCTTTCCCCCCACAAATGCCGGGCAAAGCCCTCACCAGCCTGTGTCTTTCCCCCACAGCTTCCCCATCCAGCTGTGCGTGGGCATCAAGGGGAAGAGCCTCCCGGAGAGAATAAGTGAGTGCCAGTGGGGGGGCAGCATGGCCAGGCGCCAGAGAGCGGTGGGGCTGGGGCCAGGAGGGCAGGGTGGGCAGGGGCAGGGAGTGGCATGGCCAGAAACAAGGGGGATGGCAGGGCTGGGCGCCAAGGAGATAGCATGGCTAGGGGGTGGTGGGGCTGGGGGCCAAGGGGGAAGCATGGCCAGGAGTGAGGTGGCAGCAGGGCTGGGGGCCAGGGGGCGGTATAGCCAGGAGCCAGGGAGCCATTGTGATGGGTTCGGTCACAGAGATCCCCTTGGGACTGTCATGTGATGTGCTGAAACTACCTCTGAGCCCATTTTCCCTGCCAGCTCGGGACTCCAGAACCTTGTCTTGTTGAGCCACACACAGCAGCCTGCTGTGAGTCAGACCCAGGGTCTGGTCCATGCCCCCAAAGCTGCAGACTTTAACCAAAAACTGCTCTGCAGGTTACTTGTCTCCAGCACCCAGACACCCAGTTCCCAATGGGATCCAAACCCCCAATAAATCCGTTTTATTCTGTACAGGGTAAACTCATAAATTGTCCGCCCTCTATAACACTGATATGCACAGCTGTTTGCTCCCCCAGGTATTAATCACTTACTCTGGGTTTGTTGATAAACAAAAGTGATTTTATTAAGTATGAAAAGTAGGATTTAAGTGGTTTCAAGTAATAACAGACTGAACAAAGTAAGTCACCAAGCAAAATAAAGCAAAACCACACAAGTCTACAATTGGCATAGGGAGAGCTCTGCCCAGGCCTTTGGGCCCTAGATTCACCTAGGTGTAGACTTGTGTGTTTTTGCTTTATTTTGCTTGGTGACTTACTTTGTTCAGTCTGTTATTACTTGAAACCACTTAAATCCTACTTTTTATACTTAATAAAATCACTTTTGCTTATTAATAAACCGAGAATAAGTGTTCTTCTTCGAGAGATGTCCCTGTGGGTGCTCCACTCCAGGTGTTGGTGCGTCCCTGCGCCTTTGCTCGGAGATTTTTGCAGCGGTACTCATAGCAGCCACGCATGCTCAGAGGCTGCCCCCCCCCCTGAGTCTAGGGTGATAGTACGCATGCGTGGCCGGCCTACCCAATTACTTCTCTACCATCCCCGGTCTGAGATGGTGCTCGGCAGACTC